TTCTTTCAAATGAACTACTGCCCAGGAGGGTTGAAATAGTAAGTGGTTTAATTTTGCAGGACTAGTTTTAGACAGCAACACAAAAAGTGCAGACTCAAACTGATTCCTAAGTATGCAGAATCGTAATTTTCATGTAATAAGTAAAGGAATATAAAGAGCAATTAACCAGGTAGTAATCAGTGTTTCCAACTCGCAAATATGACTAATAGAAGCCATGTTTTGTATGAACACAGGAACAGTGCTAACTGAACCAGGCAACTTTTTTAGACTTCGATTCTGTGCCTGATTTAGAGGCCCGTTAAGGTATATATTTCAGAAATTTTGAGAAACAACGTCCGTTACCATGAGGGAAACGAAATGATTAAGTTGACGATTTAGCAGTTAATCCAGATAATTTCTAGAATCTTGAGACTCAAACAGCTACTATAGAGCTTATGAAATGTGTAGCTGTTTTAACAGAGAACAAAAAAGAATCAGCTCCACTGTTCACTGATATGATTTTTGGTAAATTGTAATCTCTATCACTATTTAATCAAAATCACTCCGTAAATATAACTCACAAGTTATACGTCCTTGCAGTTCAAAGTCGTAGCACTACGGAGATAGAAGGTATCACTTAACCCCAAACGGTGTTTGGCTGGGTGCGCACGCGTGCGTCCGTATGCTGACGCCTTCCTGGCGGACACGTTGGTGTAGCAGAGAGAGGGGACATCTCGGGATGCCGAGGCGTGCGCATTTAAGTCTTAAACAGCCAATCAACATACGTAGCGCTTGTGCGCTCGGCGCGTTAACTAGTGAAAAGGCAAAAAAACTTTTCCCTAAACCTAGACACGAGAAATTCCCAAATCCACTGTAAGGGTGGTCCCAATCCAGATCATCAGCAATCGGAATATGTGATGACGGAAAGTAAACTTTTAGCATCAATTAACGTGTCGGTATAACCACAGTTGCCTGTAAAGTAAAAAAACATGGCCCCGAAATGGTCCAGGTGGTCCGACTGACTACAAAACACGAGGACTGAAATTCCAATGGCGGCATGTTGATAGAACGGTTGCATACAACCAACGAAATTGGGATTCGATCAGCTCTACAAACAACTTGCCTTTATGGTACTCGACCGTGTGCATCCTCGAGGAAAAATCTCATGGTGAATTTAAAAAACCACTCTTGAAGACTACTGAAACCTTAATCTGAAGAATAATGTTGGAGGATCTTCTAATTCGAGGCTTCCCAACTGGAATGTCACTTTGGCGCTACATTGACCTACAATGCCACTGTGTGGTGGCAGTTGTGTACTTGATTGATATAACTGAAGGTTGGTATGCAACTGTCACTGCTTCATAACCTATAAAATATTGCTACAAATATCATTTTGAATTCATTGAAAAAGGAACATTGAACTAGTGTCATGTTCCCTAGAATGACCGATACATTTTTACACCTCTGGTCCGCCTTCCCTCCTAAACGTGTGCAACACATTCGTGAAGGAAGAGCCATTGAACCACACTCGCAAATTTAGCTGGGCAAATAATTGTGTATGCTGGAGCACTCCTCAGTATCGTATCTCAGGTTTCCCAGTTTTGGCCAAAGAAGTGTTTGAGGCGAATTCCAGCTGAGCTGGAGAATAATTTCACTGAGTGAAGTAATCACTGGAGTCTGTACCCAAATTGGACTTTATCCAATCAGTTGGTCATAACGCGAGATGATGAACTAGGCGCATGATTAATTAACTGGTAGGAAAATTTGTTGAGTCTCAATTGCATATTATGACAAGTACTCTTAGAAACTGATCGTCCAAGGACCGTCAGTAATTGCATCTGTTGGGTGTTTGGTATGGCGAGTGTTCAGTAGACGCCCGTATTGAAGTGCGAGTAAATTTTGCACTGCTTGAGGGTATCCAGGTTTATACCATCAGATCTAGCCTCATAGGGTTTGCCTGCAAAAACTCGCTAGGTGAAAATCTTCTTTAACATTAATTTGACGTTGTCAAAGCACCGTCAATAACTGGATAAATTTCAAGATACTTATGGACTAGAAGATTGTCAATGGATATTCATCAGATCTTCCTCTCAAATAATCAGGGATTTTATTTAGTCTTGATTTTGTTGCTTATTTTGCACCTATTTTGCAGTCACCTAAACTACAAGCGCAACTTGGAAAATTGTTGACTTTGTAAAAATGGAACTTGAATACTGAAATGATCTCTTGTAATTATTTATTAAATGTTATTCTAATTACCTCACTAATTTTTTTGCGTCCGTAGTCACTGTACTACTTTAAAAGTTCTGTTTACGTTGATTAATCCACATTTGCCTTAAGCCAGTTACTTAAACGGTAACGCACGGTAACCATGCCCCACTGAATTAGCATAAGGTTTAAAAAGCGTAATAACTGCCAGATACCGCTGCGGCTTCGTTTTGCTACCAGTTGTGTGTTCGAACACCCATCATCTTCCCATTTAATTACCGAGAGCCAGGACCTCGAAAATAAACAATGTGTCGCCTAGGCGACGGCAAATTTGAATTTCGGCGATATTTACGTAAAAAAGGTCACCGGAAGACGGCTGCCGCAGTTGAAATGGGGCCACGAACTGACGGCGATTATTTATACAATTAGTAGCCGGTTTGATTAGCGTAGGGCAAGGGTAATTAGGGGACGCATTCCTCAGTCCATCCCCTCTCCCGCGTCCCTCTTCTTTGGCCATTGGGCGCTTGTTTATTCATTTGCCGGTCGAAGAGAGAAAGGCCATCGGAAATAGTGTCAATAGAAGAGGTTTGCAGTATCTGTATTTGCCTTTTAGGATGGACTGAGGAAGATTACAACTTACAAATTCGCCGACCTCAACCCCATTACCACGGAATTCAATTTTATTGTGGTTTTCCTTTAAAGAAAGTCGTCGGGTAGTTTTTAATTTCTTTTATTAAAACAATATTTGTCATTCAAAATATTTGCTGAGACCAAAAATGATTAAAATCTGAAGGGGCGAATCAGAGCAACATGTCTTCTGGGTTGACCAAGTCGTTGAATTGGTCACAATACGTCGCCGCAGTAACTCTTCGGCCACATTGAAGCCTAGTGGATCGTATTGATTCATATTCATTAACCCGGACGTCGCTTGCTTACTCACCGCCGTTCTCTGTTCCTGTTGACCACGAGAAACCGCTGGTTCACACAGGCTTCTACACGTATCTCCCCCCTATAATCATTTCATTCATCTGGCCATTTGTACTTTTACACGCTCACCCAGACTGAACAGGGCGCTACCCACAAATGGGTTCAGCCACCTAGTGAATAGATGCGACTCCATCTCCGGTCTTCTTAGCCCAATCAGGCGGACCTGGTGTGATTCGAGGTCACATGGAAGCACGATTCAGATTGCTTCGTTCTGCCAAACCCTGTGGAAACTATATGTTTAGTTACGAGATGTATCCAAGTTGCTTTGGATGACGGAATAGCGAAGATTTACGAAACCGTGGACATAGTCATTATCAATGCTGGAAAACATGTCAGAACAAAGTTTGCTTTGAATCAAGTCACCCTTTTGAAACCTAAAAAATGGTTTATACTTTAATGAATGAATTGTGCTTCTGCCTATTTGATTGAGAAAATGGAACCCTGTCCTCATTTGTTTACTGTGGGATCACTTTTTATAATAATACCAGGAACGTGAAATCTACCTGGTTTACCTTAGGCGTCGTGAAAGGCAAGTTTCATACTCAATTGGTTAACCGTTTTCCGTGTGAAGAAACCAGGAAAGTTTGAATAATGTGGGTGTCTCCGAAACGTCTGCTGTAAAATCGAAGCCAGCAAGGTTATCCAATTCAAAAGCTAGCACGATACCCAGACGAGTTGTTATTGATTGCTGTCATAAATTTGTCGTCTCAGTATTCAAATACTGCAAATTACTCTTACTCTTCCTTTTTTTGTAGATAGATTAAAACCTTCTGGTTAGCGGTTCACCAATTGCATCATGGCCACTAAAACCACTGTTTGATTGACCCAGTAGAAGCAGTTGAAGTTCCTTTCCAGCTTCGAACTTTGTAATTTTATGTTACACATCCATATTTCTGCAATTCACTAAAACCTATAAACTTGGAGATTAATAGGGATTTTGACACTTATTGTAGTTCAGTCATTAACCGCCAGCGAAGTCAACAGGTTTGGCATAGTAGATCCCTTTTACCTAGTGATTGGGTTCTTGAAACGACCGCCTTCATTCAATAAGCCGGTCAGACCACACACTCGGAAACGTGCACATCGTCTAGAAGATGCCCTTCTCTGACTCGAGGAGCGGCGTGTGCCTTATCTGTACAGCAAAATAATTACGAACGATACGTGGTATGCAAAAGTACGAGTTAAGCACAGTTCTGCAAATTTGCTATGAATTCAAAGCTTACACTTTCCATGCACACACCTGACAAAATTTGCAAGCCAACAAGCTCCACTCAGTGCATTAGTCCTGAAGCCTGTTATACAGATTTGTTTAGGCCTCAACCTATTTCTTTCACAGATTTACAATTTTAAAATCTCCTCATCGCAGGTACTTACACATACTATTATCTGCAAAATTCGGATGCCATACGACAAAATCGACTTCGAAGTATAATAGCGAACGTGCTCTTTTACCAACAAAGTCCCTTTTATCAATTGTCACGAATAAGAACACTGTAAAAAGACCTTTGCTCTGCCTAAAAACTAACCAGCATATATTGAGAAACGCAGCATTTATACGTGGATTTTAATCACATCTGTTGAACGACGTTCTTGAAAATTCCATTAAGCCCATCAAGATGCGAGTTCCCTTTCATGAGCCAAAAACCACGATAATTTTGTCTTAAACGTTGCTAGCAGCTGTGAAAGTGTTCCCATGGCTTCATCGTTGATGAAATTCACAGCGAGGAATTTAAATAAGGCGACCGATCGATCATTTTCAGCTGATGGGCAACCGAATTGACTGCGGATCTGCCGAGAGTTGCACGTGAAGTAGCGTGCAGTCTCCAATGGGAAATAATCCCAGTCAGGAACTCGAGGCTAAGTTGACGCCATCTGTCCCTCCTGTATTACAACAACCGCATGAGCCACATTCAAATGATACTACTCTTGGAGGCAACCCAGTAGGGCCTATTATAAAAGCGTACAATCGCTCAACCAGTCTTAGGTCCACAGGCACGAGTACGCATAAGAATGTGTATGAAGCCTCCTGTCTATATCGAAGGAAAGTGTACGCTGAGTCCTTGCCAAGATTAAAGCGACCATCTAAGACCCAAACAAGGAACGTTCCCTTACCAACCCCACCAATTCATCTCGGCAATAGACATGCTGTCAAGCTCCAGCCTGGGCCTCCTAAAAGTGCTACAAAGGGTTTACAGGAGTCAGTTGCTCAGCAGGCTGTTTCGCGTCCACTGATGTCTTACAGATTCCCATGCCATGCTAATCAGCAGTGGAATGGAAACAATTGGACTGATGTTGGCAGCGAAAGTATTCTGACCAGTAAGGCAATCGTTTCAGATGAAAACGACACTGCAATCAAAGCGGCGAAACCATTGTCCAAACTAATCGGCCTAAGAGAGCTGATAGATAGATTTGATACCGAATTGTCCAGAAGCAAAATTTCACTGAAAAAGCGCATGGACAGCCTCACGGACACCGATCTGTTAATTGGGAGGAATGCCCTCGAACAGAAGGAACTCTTGTGTAAAACTGAAGAGAGCGTCATCAGTACGCAGTCTCTGCTAGCCAAAATGCATCAGCATATTGCAAATACTCATGAATTTTGTAATATGCTGCATAGAATAGACGAGTCTCTGCAAATGTTCTCAAAGGCCGCCTTTACAGTGTCAGCCTGGGAACAAATAAAACAGGAAGACTCGTCCAAGCAGTCACAGTAGAAATGTCTTTGTCACTCTTGTAGGACGAATCTTTTGTAAAGTTGAAAGTTATATTCCTAATCTACAAGAAAACCAGGTACTTTATAATTTCACTGACTGTAATACTTGTAAATTAAATATTCAATTGTAATAAGCAGGGCAGTTTACTTTACTGTTAAAACCATTTTTTGGCTGATTTCGGTTTCACTGATTTGTAATGGAAGTAGTCTTGACAATATATTAGCACTGAATTTGTGAAGAAAAAATTACTGGGTGAGTGATTTGTCGTTTGTCAGAAGCAACTACAAACAAGGTAAATGAATTTGGTTCAGCTTTGTTAATGACATACCTTAATCACAAATGATGAGAGTTTTACATGGGTTCATTTCATCCATTAGCACGTCCGATTGGCCAGTTCGAAAATCGCAGCTTAGTTTGTTCGCACTTAAAGAACACGTGGATAATCAATTAACGTGAATTTATAGACTTCCAATTATCGTGAAAGGGAACAGCCTGATGCTTACTGACCCGAAGCCACCACCACCATATCCTTTCAGAGAGACTGATTTTGGCAAGGAAGTTACAACGTAACATGACATTGTATTACGAAACACCCTCACTTAAAAGAGCATGCTTAATACAACTGTCATTCCTACTGCCACATTGCAGCATTATTTTCCAATTACTCGACCATTTCAGTCGTTGCTTTGATGGCATCATTTGCAAAGTGTAAGTCCCTCAGAGCCATATTTAGATGCGCTCGTTCAAAACCAAGGTTCAGTACAATGATGGTCCTACTCTTTCCAACAATGGTTTTTTGTAGAAGTTGAGTGAACGGACTCTCTGAAACCTTAAACTGATTCCTCCTACGAAGAGCATTGAAGAGGCTGCTGAGGGCATCCCTTTCAGCCGAGGAGAAAAGAGGATAAAAAGAAGTCCAAGATGTGTGTAACACTGTTTTGGATAAACGGTCCTGTCCTACTAAACGGAGAAGCACAGCAATTTGTCCTTTGGATCCCATCACCCTATCTTCTCTTAACCAACGTAGAAATTTTGCAAGATCGCGACTGCTCTCAATTCGCACACAGGTATCGCAAACATCACTAAAAGCTGGGTCTGCGTGTTCGCAGTTGATTACTTCAGCCGCAGGATGTTTAGAGATGAGGTTGGTAATGCCACTCTCAGTGCAGACAAAACCAAAGGCATAAATGTAGAAATCCAGTTCAGTTTTTGAATTCATAAGATCTATGAGATGAGCTATTGTGAGAACAGCTAATCCATCTGTGTGGGATAGGAGTAATTCCTCAGCCCCACCCCCAGTTGTGATGATATTTGTGGGGTGACCATGTAAACAATTGCCTACAAGCCCACAAAACATGGCGAAGAGCTGACGGTTTCCATTAGCGGCACTGTGAACTCCATCAAGGACAAAACAGGTGTTTGAATTGATTAAAATCTTATTGTGTGAAATTACATCAACGTGACAAGTTTGTGGTCTAGCATCCAGAAGTCGAGCAAACGCATGGACAGTGCCGGTGGCACGCTGGAGGCGTTTCGATATGAAGGCTTGCTGTGCTTCTTCCTCCTGTAGTGTACGTTTTACCTCGAGGAGTCGAGCATCCAACATGTTGTCATCATTGACAAGTGTTTCAGTGTCGGGCACAATCCCATCTTCGCTGAATGTGTCTGATGACCATTCTTCCTCCTCCGGTAAATCACCGATTATTGGTTTCAAATAGATAATGGGTCTGGCATAGCCTCTAATACTTTCCAAGTCATGCAGACGTGAACAAAGAGTCATGTATTGTTTCCTCAGAGTTGTAATTTTCTCCTTTAGGTGCATGCACTGTTTTTTAAGCTGATTGCGTCGATCTTTCTCCTTGCGCAAAATGTGAAGAATTCGAGGTCTAATATCCAACTGCTGTTTTATACGTTGTGTACAGTCTTTGTGATTAGCAATTAGATCCAAAAGAAATTCACTTGAGAGTGGGACGATGAAATCGTTTTCCTCATAATCGCTGTAGCTTTGGTTAACACTATCTATCTGCTCACCGCAGCCAAGATCTTTAACAGGTAGTCCACTTCTTTCACTCTGATTTTTATTAACAATCCATGGCTGCATGACATCTTCCATGTTTTTGAGAACCGCACTTAGACTTTTCAAAGCAACCGCGTTTTCAGTGGCGCAGGTATCTTTGACTTCGATGTCACTCTGTATACTTAGCAGATTGAGGTAACTTTCTGTCAATTTGAGTAAAATGTAATAGCGGTCCCTCCAGCGTTTCGCCATGAAATTCTGGCTACATTTAAGGCTGGCCTCCTGAATTTTTTTCCGTTCATGATTGTCTTTAATTGTGGCTACTTTAAATGCGAAAGAATCGAGGAGTTTTTCTATTTGATGTGGCGGAGATTTCGGTCTCCTGTTAGAGCGAATAAGATGAAGAAGTTCGTAGTTTGCCTGGCCAAGAAAACGATAACAGAATTGTAAATCCGAATAGAGGCGTTTGTATTTAGAAGGTGAAAAGCCTGAGATATCCTCACAGTCGCTAAATGCGCCTGCAACAACAGCACTTCCCAGGTAATTCCGATTTGAAGCTTCAGTGGTGTGGCATTGTTTTGATTTGATGATCTGAACCCTAGGACAAACCAGCGATGTTGAGGAAGCTGACTTGCAATGAATTTTTTCCATGTGCGTAATAGCTGTCTTTCCGCTGTCAAACATGTGAAAAAAGATCGATAGCGAACATACAGAAGTGCACCTTGTGCATGGACCCAGGCTCCAGGGTCATCGTTGCTAAAATGTGCATTCCTGGCAAAAATATTAAAACAGGAGTACAGCTAAACAAAACTGTATTGTAATTCAGTAGGCTAATCACACAAATGTAAGTTACATTGGGCACTGCAGCCAAAGTAGAGATCATGAAAGTTGACAAGAGGCGCAACAAAACTTGCCGATAATGGTGCATTCCCGGTTCCTGACGTTTTCCCACTGCCACTGCCTGGATTCTAGCCACATCCCCCAATTACCGATTACCCTTCGAAACACGACACTTCGCCACTAGCTTCTACCCGGGCATTTCGCAATCCCCAAACTAGAAGCACCACACACCCATGTTCGTATATTGCGGTCTTCACAATTTTGTCATCGCTAGTGCTTCGATTGTAGCCATCTCCTTTATTGAAACCCAAAATAGTTGTCCGAACAAACAATCCTTTAGAGATTATTTCAAGGTGAAAACAAGTCGCCTAAGTTAGCAAGACCAGCGAACACATGGATTAATATATTCTTGTAGTAACGGATGATTAGCTCTAGCTCTAATGAACTATTATCCACACATATGACAGTGTGTAGGTTTTTGCGTTGTCAACTGTCAAAAGTCAACTGTGTTGTAGCACAGCTGACTTTATCAATATCAACGTGGCACTCAGACTACCAAAACTTGGATATGCAAATGTACGTGGCTGTAAATGCACATTGCAAAGTTCCTTATAATATTTGAGTTAAAAAAACATCTTTCGTGAACATTAGGACCCTCGGTATGCCGCAAGCGAGATAAACAATGTAGTGATCAGAATTTCATGTATGGTACGTGGACACATCTACCCCAACTTTCAACACAGTCCAGAAGTGAGACGTATGGAAGCAAAAAGCAACCTGCAAGTTGACTATATTGCAGGTGAGGCCACTTCAACACCCTCAAGCATGTGACCAAAGAGCACGATTTTGTGACTTAATGTCAACCTCGTTCCCATTACCCTCTGCCATCAATCCCAACGGTTGACACTAAACCTGGCGATTTCACATTCATTCAAGTACCAACCACGTTCCATAGGAAAGGCTGTCTGCGTAAAACTCACCACTCTTTAGCTCATCCGTAAATACTAAAAAAGTTCTGCTTTAATGTCTCTGATTTGAACTTGAATACATTGGTTCTATTTAGTAATTTATTGGGACACATCAAATGCCACAGAATAGTGCACAAAAGAACTTTTGGGGTAACCACTTTTCAGTTAACTAGTGCCAAATGAGGACCTATAACTTAACCATTGTGAAACACTGTTATTTAATATTGATATAATAATAAAAACCAGATATATATCCATCTTTGTTACATATATACTAACGGCTTCTTGAGGGCAGAACACCGCTTTTGTTCACTCATAGTTTGATGTGAGGACATTGTGCTCTTAATCAAAGTTCTTATGATTCACACTAGGGCAGGTATTATCATGAAGCAACATCCAAGAAATGGTTTAGCTGCATTGTTTCTCAGAACATTACACACATCTAATTCTAACGAACTGTGGCATTACTGAGTAAATCCGAGCTTGGGATCAGCCATGATGAAATACTTTGTTAGGAACGCGATCACTTGAAGTTAATTTTGACTTTAATACTCCAATTTCATTGCCGCTGAAGTTTGCTGAAAGAGCCCTGTGGAGGAATATAGCAGTTCTGACCACCAGCGAAACCCTTTCAGTGGGGTTTTCAGATTGTTCTTCATTTATAATGAATGAAATCTGTTTACCATCCCAAATATAAATTTTGTTGGTTGATTTTTGCATTATTGAGCATTAATTTTACATTCAAATATGTATTTACATTAACACAGTGCAGAGCAAAAAGAATAGGTTGTGATGCAGAATAAGGGGCTCTGTCGGACTCGTTGTCATTTCTCACTCTATTTGTTAACGAACTTGTGTGTGCCAACGAAAAATCGGCTTTTACCAAAGATTTACGGCACAGTGCGTCTCATGACTTCTGGAGTGTTAATTTAGGGAATGTCCAATTACCTAGATTCTGTATTAGACAAAGCATTTTTCGCTGTTGAAAAATATTTAATGCTATAACCCCAACCACCTAAAGAATTTCATGTCTACGTCTAATGACTTAGTAAAAATTAATAATACCTATCCTAGGATCCAACCTAACTCAAGATGCGGCGACAGCTTCTTTCAGCAAAATTGTATACAGGCTTATTTCACTCTATTTCCTATTTTTTTTAAAAATGACCAATTATTAGAGTGTCTTAATTGCACCATTGTCTAAAATTGCAATAAAAAATAGACTCAACTCATCGCTTGTTAAAATTTACGTAATTAGTGAAAATATGGGCCTTAAGGCTTGTATACGTTCAACTAAGTTGAGTTGGTTTTGGGGATCCACGGTTCCCCAAGATTACTCATCATTAGTTTTGGCACAATTTGCACTAATTCGCTAACATGTGTTTTACTACTCCTTACTATCAGGTCAAGACCAACCTTGACTTGAATTAGTTTCACTTTTGACAATCCACTCAGCACGTGGCTGACGTGATTAAAGCTTTCTACACGAGCTCTGGCCTTATTCTTGTATTAGCGTGCGAAGGTCGGTTCTCGCGTCAACAAGGGATCTGGTACCGTTATTTGAGTGGTTTTATCTTGGTCACGGGCAAGCGTAGCGGGTGGGCGTAGACTCGAGCGGCTCAATTGTACATTTTTATGATATTGTATTGTTGAGGCTCTGGTACAAATTGGAGAAAAGGACCACAAAATGCGACAATTTTTACTGAGTGAAATTCCCGTCTTGAGGTGCAATTTTGACGCGGTAAACCTCTCATTCAGTATTATGTCACATAGAATTTGAAATCTAAAATAAAAACGGTCACCTGAAAAATTGTTTAATAAACCTCCGTCTTCGGGACTATTTCTGCATCAACTTGCTGATAAACCTGAATAGATTACTTTGATAGCCAACAGTAATAGGTACAGATGACGTAAGTCTCAGAAAAGGTTTTTTATTAAAAGGAGAGTAAGCCGACAAGATGTGAGAATGAAAAATGCTATGCTAATGTAGTAAATCTCTAGATTCGCACATTTACATTTGCAGTATGATTAGCAACGATTTTCGAATTCGACTATACATCCGCGAAGCTATGAGTACTACATTAACTAGGCATATAACATTTGATAGAGGTCTTTCGGTTGTGATTGAACCAATCCTAACACGTTTCTAAAGTAGGCGTTAAAAATAACCCCAAAATATAGATCTCATAAAAAGATTACTAGCAAAGCAAAATCCCAAATCAATCCATTTGAGTTTAATCAATTTACCATTGGTAAAATGAAAGCTTTATTTTGGGCAAAAGTACTGTTCTAGTGACCGACTGAGGATACATTTTCACTACCCAATTTTCCGCAGCAGAGCTTTCTCAACTCAAGAATATCAAAAAGTTGATTTTCTACTCCTAGCATCATCTTAGTAATTTTGTTTTAGCTTTTTATTGCAAGCACCCCACTTTGTAAATTCACTGGGTGCATCAAAATCGAAAATCGAGACTCACAGTAATGTACGCAGAATCGCTGGCTTTCGAAATAAAATTTGTTGTGCCTGTTTTCTAAGGTCGTGAATACAAAATATGAAGGTTGAGGACAGGGTAGTTTTGCATAGATATTAATCAATAAACAATCCAATTTAAAATATGTACATTTAGGCGGTGTCTTAAAAGGAAGTCTAGTAAAATGCTTCCTAATTTTAGGATAATGATCATCGTGGTGAGTGAAGGGTAGCGGATACTAACGTCAAATTTTCTGCCTACGTGATCGTTAAAATGGTCACCTTCATAGAGAGACTGCTTTTTATTCTGAAAACTAAAATAATAAGTATACATAAAGAGCAGACCCAAAAAGACGGCCGTGTGTCCGATCCAAGAATTCGTTTTGGCGGTATTTTGGCGTTCAATATGTCCCATCACAAACGCGCACAGGGGCGAATTTCTGCAGTGGATAGTCGACTGAGACGAACGATAAGGGCCTATCTGACCAAGTGCACCACAGGCTGATTAAAAACTTTAGTTCAGGCTTACCTTTTACTGATCGATGTTAACAGTTGCCATAAAAAGTCTGCATACGCATACACTGACACCTCAAAATTGGAAGCCTTTCCTCGAGTCAAGCAAGTATTGGAAAACGACATTTTGAAAAATATCGCAGACACACAAGGAGTCAAAGCAGCAATGTGTCTATGAGTGTTAAATAAACCAGAGAAAAATTAGTATCCAATCAGTAAAAGCATAAAAGAAACCTTGAGGAATTGGAACTTTAATAGACTGTGGCTGGTGGAAGGTCCAAAACTATGGCAAGTTAACATAGGTAGTTGATTTATAACATTGTCGCCGTTCCTTGATACCTCAAAGCAACGTCCCAAATCATTAAAACAGATATGTGATCAGTAAACATCCACAATTTACTTCTGATTACACTAAAATGACAAATAAACCGTAAAACATTTCTGTCTGAAGCCAACTAAAACCCATTTGACAGAGTAAAATCAATTATTGTCAAATAATGCATTACCAGCCGCCGATAATAACATTTCATTTAACAATTCCTTAATTAAATATCTTAAGTGTTCATATAGGTCTAAGAGGTAGTTGGAAATATAATTGAAGTTTGCATTTCAGATATGCAATTTACAAACACTAACCTGACAAAAACTGGAAAAGTTGAATTGGCGACAACCAATACTTTCTCGCATTAGCTATTGAGATCACACACATGTTGGACCACTCTGGCCTTAACAAACCCCTGCCTCTGCGTTCTTATGGCATGCGAGGAAGATATGCAACCAACCAGAGACATGTTTGAGAAGTGGTATAAAACGAGAGGCGTTGTAGAATACTCGAGCCCTCATAGGGAAAAGACCGGTACAACAGAACAGGCTTTATTGACCAATCATGATGCAGCGCCATAAGTCAGGCGCCTTCCATCCGAGTCCACCACGCTGGCCACGCCGCTCATTATATACTGCATCTCATCCATGTCCTTCTCTGGTTGGCTGCTTATCTTCCTTGCATGCCATTGGAACGCAGAGGAACACAGGATTGGCTGAAGCCAGGTGGTCCAACATGTCTGCGCCCAAAATCCGACGCCACAGTGTAGCCAGCGTGGTGGACTCGGATGGACGGCGCCTGACGTGTAATTCTGGCGTGTGATTGGTCAGGAAAGCTTGTTCTGTTGTACCAGTGTCTTAATATTAGGGGGCTTGGATATTCCACACAGTCATGATGATTTTTATTGATAATAATTGAGCCAGAAATGGGAAGGCTTAGAACATTACGAACACAAAAATCGAAATCGACTTCACAGTTTTTTTCTTATACATGATATCAATTCACGAAATTTATTAAATTAATAGTTTTTTATAATCCAAATTCGTGTGCAATCGAAATGTTATTGTGGAATTTAATAATTATAATATGCATCAGGCTGAAAATTTCACGCATTCTAGCTTTTCATGACTTGAATAAAAATTAGCACGCTCAAATTTGATTAACACAGTTTGGTTACGTAAAATTTTTGGGATTAAATGCATTTTTTAAAAAGGAATAATTAGTTGGTATTTATGGTGGAGTGAATGCATACCTAGAATAACCTAAGTCCACTATTTTTTGTAGGACTGCTAAATAAAATTTAGTTTCACCTGGTTGTTATGTTCAAAACCCATTAGAACTGGATAACAAATTTGCGGAAATATCTCTTCATTTACAGGAACGAGAGCTACCCATGTTTTCACTAAATGACTTTGATTTTTTTAAAATCCCCTGGATAAGCATTTTGGGCTCTTATCGATATTCCGAGAAATCTGCAATTTGGTTGATGGTGTTATAATTGGATTACCGTGAGCCCGAATTTCGAATTGACGAAACACTCAATCAAATCCACTAGCTTTTAAACGTGCTTTTTAAGTCGGTTTTCGTCGTAGACACCACTTAGGGGTATTTTGTTTGATATATTACTCTAACTTCCCCAAACTTCAGGTTGCTTTTAGATGATGTGAAAGTAATCCAGATATATAACACGTTAATTTTTGCTTTTATTTTAAGGATTTCAAGAGATGGACAAGTTCTTATACTTACCTACTTTGTGAGTACCATTAGGGTCGAATGAAAGTTTCTGCACGACGCCTCGCAATACACAAAGCTCATAGAAAATTAACTTCCTGTTAGTATAAATTTTATGTTCTCTAAATTCTGGTTGTGATTAATAAATCTCTTTTGACATGTATTAATTCTTAAGAAAAGTAAAGACACCGACTTGTTACTGCGTAATTCTATGTCCAATTCTCCTAATTTTCTCTCGCGCTTGTGTGCATTTGTCCAATAGATCCGTTTTCTTGTATTTGCATGACTGTCTGCGGTCTTTCCAACTGCTGTTTTGCCACTAACATTGTTTTTTTTGTAACATGTAGAAGCCATGCGCACATGTACGAATTTAACTCTTACCTAGAAATGATATAGTAAGTACATACGTTTTCTTGCTCAACACTAATGACGTGGTCGTTTTCTTCGTCTTCAGCTAGCTTTCTTAGCAATGTTTATCTACGTAAGTACGCCAACCTCGAAATTTCACGAATAGCGGTTGTGTTAAATTAAAAATTTCTAGAACTCTGAAGCATGCTTATTAGAAGGAATGATTTTAACACACGACACCCCACCTCTCACGTCGTCCACATACTGTGGCTGGTCTGGTAAATATTCGTTAGTTGGTTCATATCTCGGCTCGTTAGGTTCTTGCATAAGTTTTGGCCTGCATTATGTTCTAGAAGACGTGGATTTCAACTTTAAAACTTATTCAACTAAGTAGGACTGTGCACCATAGATACCATGATATTTGCTACCTAAATCTCAATGTAAACCATTTTTATTTCTTTGAAAGTTTAAATATTTGTTTGCCATGCTCATTTTATTCTCATACACACACCGCTGAGTCTTCGTTCGCAAATCTTTGCAAATGCCCCTCATTTACAACAATCACACGATTCAAATCTGCATGGTGTCAGTGTTCCTGCTTGTACTGCTTATAAAATAAGTTTACCGGAGTATGGCTGTTACGTAAATTACGGCGAAATATTTTTATTCATCTGTTCTTACTGCTTCAACAATCTATCATTTTGTTTCATTTAAGTATTTGCTAACGCAACTTTTGTTTTTTCCTAGATGCGTCGGCGCACTCCTTTACGCGAATACCTCGAGCTTCGGCGCCTCAAAAACCATGATCTCTTACCTGAAAACATGTTGTACGAAACGGACATCCCTACTGCTTTCTGCTTCCGGAGAATATGCAGCATAGGAAAGACTCATCGTAGAGCTAGTCATGAACAAATTTCTTTGACTGAAGCTTTGGATCATCTGCTAAATTATTTAAACGTTAGAGGTGCGTTAGAGCTGTTTTTTATTCAGTTTTACTCAAGCTACTTGTGGGACTGCTGCAAGGTCTAGAAACCGAGAAATTGCAAACTTTGTCTTTGTTTCCAGTTCAACAGTTATACCTCCGATGAAAACACTCGAAATTAACTTGCATGTCTAAAATGCTGTCAATAGTCATGCGGTAAGGCGTTTGTGTTTGCAGTGATGCGTTGCGGCCCCAATTTCTGGCCGGTTGTCGGTGGCGAGCGTGTTTCGACTTGTGATCAGTTAAAGCTAAAGAGTGGTGAGTTTTACGCAGACAGCCTTTCCTATGGAACGTGGTTGGTACTTGAATGAATGTGAAATCGCCAGGTTTAGTGTCAACCGTTGGGATTGATGGCAGAGGGTAATGGGAACGAGGTTGACATTAAGTCACAAAATCGTGCTCTTTGGTCACATGCTTGAGGGTGTTGAAGTGGCCTCACCTGCAATATAGTCAACTTGCAGGTTGCTTTTTGCTTCCATACGTCTCACTTCTGGACTGTGTTGAAAGTTGGGGTAGATGTGTCCACGTGTCATACACTCAACTATAGTGAGTTCACTGTTGAATGCATTGGTGCTTCAGAGTAGTCATACCAGACACTATGTAGCGGGGCTAAATCAACCTGTTTTCATTTGTTTTTTTGAACCGTAAAATGTACCTTGTGTCGACCAGGCTCCCATCTTCGTCTCGAGAATTTTGCTTTTATGTCAAAGGAATTCTTTCGTGGTCTGGTGTTGGCTATGTTCAGAGGCGAGGGGGATCCTTCAGCGCAAATCGTCGCGGCTGACCTCTTTCATGTTAATTGTCGCACGATATATCAGTCTTTAAAAAAGTTTCTGCCGATTAAGGAGGAGGAGGAGGCAAAAGGAGGTGGGGACTCCATCGGGTAAATGTAAATCTCGCTTATTTGATAATTTTGAGCTACAAGTGTTCGATATTTTATCCTTGATGTGTTCCATCTTAATTTTAGGACTATTTTACTAGCCCTCGAAAATATGCTTGACGAAGCTGCTTTTCCTTTATTGGTAGTCATCTCTTCAGCAAATCTAGATGGTCTTATTTGCTCCGTCTTATGGGCACTGGTGAACTTGCTGAAATCGACGAAGTTGTTATTGTCTGACAATAGATTTTCCAGCCTTACCTGTTTGAACTGGGTGCATCGGTTAATGCTCGTGGAATACATAGTAGAGGTAAGTCTCTCTTGTTGTTTATTCAAACTACTGCACTTTTGATATTTCAGACCTTGGATTTGCAATTGAGGTCGTTAAGTCGCCTCACACATCTTCTTGCTAGGAAGGCTCAAACTGTGAATTTGTATATGCTAGAGGACCTTGATTTTGACTGCCTTTTCCCTATATTCACCATCCTTTCCAATGTATGTGGTATTTCGAATATGGCCCCAGGCTACGAATCTCGTCTACTAGGACACTTTGAACGATTCGCAGAGTTCTTGCATCATCTACTTGTTTATGTTTCGAGCGAACGATTTCAGGAGGCGCTTGTCCTCAAATTCGTCGCATCAACCGTCCTGCCTGTTTGTCAACAATACTCGCAGGCTTTGCTCAATTTTCCACACATAGTAACGCCTACTTTGTTATCGGATTTCTCCGAGTACCTCCGACTTTTGGAAAAGGCAGCTTTTCCTTCCCAAGAAAGTATGGCCGTGATTGCTTGTTACACAGCTGCCCTTCGTTTATTTTCCGCCCTGTCAAACACATTTATCTCGAAACAACTTCCAGATTTCCAATTGTCTTGTTTGGATGTCGTCGTGATAACCGCTTGCTCTTTACGAAAGCGACTCGATTGGTCTATGTTTGGTGAAGACATTTTAAATGAAGTTCGTTTGTTTTTATTGCCGCTAAATTGTGAAGTACCAGATTTACTCGTAGTGCGATTAATTAATGACTGTGTGCTCACAGCATATGGGGATGCTGCGAGAGGGGCTTGCGGAGCTGTCGAGGCACTCCTCTCAAGTCAGTTGCAGTTGTCCACTGACTGCCTGCATAATTTGGTACATTGGCTGGACCGCCTCGTACAACTCTACTTACTTCCTGATGGCGTTGATTTTCAAAGGATGTCGAGTTTCCAGTATTCATTAGCAAAGTCTATCCTTTTGACTTGTGTTGCATTGCTTCGAAGAACTAATGAACCTGTGGATATTTTTTCCAACAATCGTTTCCGTTTTTTGTTTTCACTGTACAGCATAGACTGTCCACAATCGGATTTAACCAAACTTTCAAAAATACATTTTTTCGAATTTTAGTTGTTCAAACGATTGAGGAGATCAGCGCGTGGCTAATGTTAGCTGTGACTACCAAGCTTGTCGACCAAACAATATCTAAATTTGTGCGAAAAATACCACGGCTTAATGTTTTTAAGGTTTGGTACGGCACGGCTAGGAATTCGAGAGACACCTTCTGTCGCAGAGAACAGCTAATTGAAATGGGGTTTGTTTTCGGTATCCAAGTTTACTATGATATGATCACAATGTTACTAAACCGATTCATTGTTTTACAGCTAGGTAGCTATCCTCCGGAAATTTTAGTTTTACCACTATCGTGTTCAACGCCGTCTAAAGTCTCAAATAAACTGCAAAAACTTATCGAAGCCGGTTCGAGTTTTATTTGTGCCCTTCACATACTTTCTCTACGCTATCCGTTAACAGAAAATTGCTTGCGAATTTGACAAGGGCGAGGCAATGCTGCATTGAAATGAACCGTTGGATACAATCCAGGGAAATAAGAATTCCCTAACACGTACTCGCGGAGTTGAGATTTCGTCACTTGGCACAACTACCCTATTCATGCCATTTCATTTGGTCACCTCAATTGTAGAGTCCCTTTGCAGTCCTTAACTGTGTTTGTTCATCGGGATAAAGTCACCCACATACAAGATTTGCATACTCTCGTGTCACGCCGTCTTTAGTTGAGACAGTAAAACTCCCTGCACGAGGTCCAGTCGTTGGCCCGAACCGAAAATGTAGGGCTTACATTAGATGGGGGATTTGGGTTTTCGTTTCTAGGCGTGTGATCTTGAATGCAATATATTTTTATGGAGTTCGTACAATAAACAATAGTGGAGGGTCGAATGTCCGATAAATTCTCTTTATGCTAAAGGCACATAACATAATTCCTAAACGCAGGTTTTTAGAAATGAGGAAAGTGAAGTAATACTTCATTGCATCTGTCTCTTGTAGTCCCAGAATTAGCTGTTGAGCTAGGAGCTTAGGTAGGATAATTGTGGTGGTTTAAATGAAAAGCGCTTGATTCCATTACTGTAGTGCTTGTTACATGTCCAGCAGGAATTACTCCCCAGTGCTGATTACCATAAACAAATGAAGTAGCAGATGTAATATACCTATGAACCATGGTGGTTAAGTCTACTCTAAAACCTGTCTGGATAAAATGTTATAATTTTATGAATGCACTAAGTGCAATAAAATCAGGGAGAGACAATGTTAATAGAAGACGCCGATCGAACGACCACTTTGAGACAATCCTGCTCGCTTCGCTGGTGACACACACAAGGAGGGCTTCGTATTTTCGGATCCTGTGGAACAATGCACTTGGGATGGACAATATCTGAAAAATGTAAGCGAAATAAAACAATTAGTAATCAGAAAAGCACCTTCGATGAGACAGAAGGAACGATTTACTGTGGGGCCTGTAATGTTCGCAGCTATGTTGGATTGTCTGTCTTGGTAAGAATTAATGACCTGAGGGAAAAGCCAGCAGTCAATCCAAAATAAGAATGGATAACAGGCGTCTGTGAAATGAAAAAGCACAACCAGGAAAGGAGGCTCGAACGGCGAACAGTTCTGGCCCAAGGCATGTCAAAAGATTTTGATGAATCTGTCCTATTCCACGGGTTTTTTGACGCTTATTAGTCCTTATCCCCACTTAACTGCTGATCTTCTATGTAGGTCATTTAAACGATTACAAACAGTGCATTGGTTGAGCTCCGCCGCGGTGTTTTATGTCTACGCTCTATGTCAGCACTACTTTACAATATAAGGGAGATATTCTTCCATCAATGGTTCCTTCTCAAATTGCAGTCCAACCGGCTTCTAATGTCTTTGTAGTCTTTGGTGATTTGTTAAAGCCTTCTCAGAAGCAGTGGCCAAAAATTACTGGCAATATCAATGGATGCAATTTTTTAGAACATCGGATGGACTGTCAAGACACGCTGAAGTCGGCATCATGGGTCTCTGCCATTGTTGTCCACAGTAGATCAAGCAAAGTGCTAGGGTTACATTCACATCATCAAAATGCAACCCCTACAATGAGTGTAGAATATCCAAGCCCTAGTATGAAGAAGACAGATTCAACAGAGCAAGCTTTATTGACTGACAACAAGCCAGGATGGTCCATCAAGCGCCTTCGTTTCGAATACTTTATACTGGCTAAGCACTTCATTACGTATAACTTTCCAGTCATTCTTATCCCATTTTGTTGCTGATCATCCTCACAGTCTATTGACCGAGTACAGGCTAAAATCATACTTCAGGTGCTTTCCATCCGAGCCCGCCGCACTGGCTGCGCCGCTCATTATATACTGCTTCTCATACGTGTCTGTCTCTGGTAGGTTGCATATATTCCTCGCAATTACAGAGGACTAACTGAGGCCTGCGTGGTCAAATATGTCTTCACTCTCATGCGTCGCTACACTGATATGAAGAAAACGGGTGAAATAAAGCAAGCTTAATTACTGAATCTCAACCCAGAACCGTACATCACGCACCGTCCATTAGAGTTCATCACACCAGCTGCACTGCTCACTATTTACTGCATCTCATTTGCAATTGTCTCTGATTAGTTGAATACCCACCTCAGGCTATTCAAACGCAAAGAGACAGAGGACTGGCTGAGCTCTGTGTAGTTCAATATTCCTGCGCTCGTGCACTTCAATACAACACAAATAGAATGTACTACCACTAGAATGAAGACCGGTACAAAATAACAAGCTTTTTGACTACTCAGAAGCCTTGAACCGGAAGTCAGGGGCTGTCCATCTGAGTCCACCACGTTGGCTGTGCCACCGAATCTATGCTGCTTAGCATCCATCATTGACTGTGGTTAGCTGGAAATCTTCCTCGCAGGCCATTCATTTAGACAGACAGAGGGTTGGCAGAGGTCCGGTTGATTCAAAATGACTGCGCCCTAGTAGTGCATTGAAAACAATTGTAGAAGACCCGAGCCCTATTATGAAGGAGACTTGTACAACTGAACAGACTTTATTGACCAATCACAAACCAGAACCACCCGTCAGGCGCGGTCCATCCGAGTCTATCACGCTGGCCACACCCATCATTGTATACTGCTCCTCACTCGCGTCTTTCTTTGGTTGCCTGCTTATCTTCCTCACATACAGAGAGACACAGGATTGGCTGAGGCCAGATGGTCCAATATGTCTGCGCCCTCAGACGTCGCCAAAGTAAGTTTCCGACCGATTGTACGGTCAAGAAGAGCGAGAGTAAGGCAAAAGAGAGTACTTTAATGAAGGCTAAAACAAGCCACAATCTAGTCAAAAACAGGTCGGGCGTAAAAGGGAAAACAGGGTCTTTATAAATCCTTGTCCTCGTCGTCCTCTTCTCCCGTTGGTCCGTTCCGAAGCGCTGCAATGGAAACGGAAATCTCGGGAGCGGATTGGCTCTCAGCCCCCCGGCGCGTCATTTAATGCCCACGTTACGTCACACGGCCGGAAGTCGCATCCCTGGTCACATGACGTCACCAACATGGCGCGCTTCTCACCTTCGACCAATGGATTAACACCAATATGGCTGCCATCTGTCACGCAGCTACACCACACTGCACATTGTAGAATACCCGGGCCCAAATAGGAAGACGACCGGTATAACAGAACAGGCTTTATTGACCAATCATGATGCAGCGCCATAAGTCAGGCGCCTTCCATCCGAGTCCACCACGCTGGCCACGCCGCTCATTATGTACTACACCTCATTCATGTCCTTCTCTGGTTGGCTGCCAATCTTCCTCGCATGCCACTGGAACGCAGAGAGACAGAATACTGGCTTAAGCTAGTGTGGTCCAATATGTCTGCGCGCTTATACGTCGCCACTGTGGCGTCGGATCAGGGCACAGACATATTGGACCAGGCTGGCCGCAGCCAATCCTGTGTCCCTCTGCGTTCCAATGGCATGCGAGGAAGATAAGCAGCCAACCAGAGAAGGACACGATTGAGGAGCAGTATATAATGAGCGGCGTGGCCAGGCTGGCGGACTCAGATGGAAGGTGCCTGACTTATGGCGCTGCATCATGATTGGTCAATAAAGCCTGTTCTGTTGTACCGGTCTTTTTCCTATTAGGGCTCGGGTATTCTACACCACACTGCCTTCCCCTCAGGCGTGAAGCTGTCCTTAGCTTCTGGCTTGGTTCCTTGCACTGGTGTTAATATTCAGTGTTGGTAAAATATCCAGTTCGAAACTCCCCGCACCCCACATCTGGCAGGATATTGGCTCAAGCGAAAAGTTGACGAGGGACTTTGCTCCTGTAGACTTGCAGGAAGGACTCTTTTCCATCGTAGGTCCATTCGCAGTTGCAGTCCAGCTGGCTTCTACTGTCCATGTCGTCGTCGCTGAGATGCAAATGCCCATTCAGATACAGTAGTCCTAATCCCGGGCAATGTCTATGGATCCAGGTTGTTGGACATCGGATGAACGCCATGACAACTTCAGCCGGCATTTAAGGGTCGTTGCCTCTGTTGATCATTTTAAGGGATGGGCTGGGGTCCGAATCGCGTCATTCGAACGCATCCGCCGCCACCAATGTAGAATACCCCAACCCAAGTATGAAGGAGACTGGTACAACAAAAGAGGCCTTATTGACCAATCAGAAGCCAGAGCCACGAGTCAGCCACCTTCCATCCGAGTCCGCCACGCTGGCCACGCCGCTCATTATATACTGCTCCTCAATCGTGTCCTTCTCTGGTTGGCTGCTTATCTTCCTCGCATGCCATTGGAACACAGAGAGACACAGGATTGGCTGCGCCCAGATGGTCCAATATGTCTGCGCCCTGATCCGACGTCACAGCCAGACCACACCACTTGTAGAATACCTGAGCCCTAATAGGA